TTTGCGAAGCACAGCATGCCGGCGCTCGACCAATGCGAGTCGCTCATGAGCTTCGCCCGGAGCTACTTGATGATCTATGCCCCATGACGTGGTCCAGGCTTCCATAGATGCTCCGAGCCAAGACCTTCCTTCATCAGTCACCAGAATCTTAGGTGGCCCAAAGTGACGAAGCCACATTTTCTCCAGGGCCATGACATAGGAGTCAGAGGTCTCATCGTCCAGCAAGTAGGCGGCCATGAAGCGTGTGGCCACATCAACCAAGCTCAACACAGCCCATTTGCGGTCGTTGACCTTCAGATAGAAGACATCGGCCTGGATTGTGTCATTGAAGTTGCGACTTTGTGGCATTGAAGCAGGGGCAACTTCATTGGGCCTCTTGTACTTGGCACAGGCAACACATTGATACTTTCGAGCAGCCTCAATCACCGTAGACGCAGCTCCTCTGGCCACTAGAAGATCGGCTAGAGATTCGGAAGAAGGGTGGCCCAGGTTTCGATGTAGTCGCTGCACAGTCCGTAGGGCGTCAGAGCGATGTTCAGCATGAAGTTTGACCAGGTGTCCGGCAGCCTTGGCTGTGCTTACAGCATGAGCTGCTTCCCAATGATGCGGTAGCTCAGGTTGCATGATCGCAGCTGCCAGGGTCGCTGCAAAGCCGGGCTGGTAATCCTCCATGTAGGTGGTTCGGGATCCCAACCCTGGTGCACTTCCTTCGAGACGGCAATGCTCATGGTCATGTTGACATATAGGAGGTGCATTGCTTCAGCGACAGCCTTCTTGGTGGTCTGAATGCGAGTTGGTTTCTGTGTGGGCTTCCAGGTGCCGCCCACATCAAGACACTGAGCTCCATATCGACATTGATCGAATTCAGCTGCATAGCCAGGGAGAGTTCGCAAGGCAGTGGTCTTCGAGCTGAGGGCCAAGCGGGGTTTTTCAAGATGACAACGTCGTGCTCCTTCAACTTGAATTCATATAGATCCTTTTGCAAAAACGCAAGTGCCGTCGATGGTGGTGTTCTCGACTTGCAATGAGAGTTTCGCGCTGAGCATCAGTGCGGCAAGCCAGCGTCTGCATCCTCGACCATAATTTGCACGTTGGCGCAAGAAGGATCTCATCAGGCATCTCTTCAAGCTGCTTCTCGAGGAAGAGGGGGCTTCACGGCTTCACAGTGTAGCTCTCTGGTGACATAGGCCTCAGTTTGATTGGCTGCCGTGACCAGACCAATTTCCATAGTGTGGAGTTGATGACGTCGCAAGGGTTGGTAGGCCAATCCATTGTCCTCCAAGATCTGGTCGCCTGCCAGGAAGATGTGCTCCATCTGGTTGAAGTCACGCAGGAACAAATGACTGCCAGGTACTTCCTCTGCGATGTTGAGCGCGAAGGCGGCCTTGGTGGGATCTGGCACAGGTTCCATTCCCGTGGTGAGCGACAGCAAGTATTCACCATGTTTGCCTCGGAGAACTGGATGCACCAAATCGAACTTGCTTTCCACTGAAGTCGATCCCCATGTGGAGCGCCTCAAATGACTGGGCGTCCCATCAACATAGGAGTGTTGCCCGGAAGGTCAACAGTCCTGCGAGCCAAGGAGGAGGCATCTCCACCGAACTGGAAGTTTCTCTCACAGCGAGCGAACCTGATGGTGTTCACAGGATATCCAAGCTCGCTCAGATGCTCCACGTAGCGCTTGAAAGGGCCGTAACCACTCAGGAAAGCGGAAGCGCCAGGATCCAGCATCGTTGCCTCGGGATGATCTTGCCCACGCTCGTCTTGAAAGAGCACCAAGGCGGTCTCCGACGTGACAGCCATACCTTCAGTCGTGATGGTGCTTGGAGCTGGACGCTTGTTGCTGGGAGATGAACTTCCTTGGGCATTCTGTGGACATGAGGCGGCCCAGTGACGCAATTGCCCACAACGTAGACAGGTCATAGAAGCAGTCGCGTCGCAGCCTTTGCCCTTCCTTTTGGATCGGCTTTGCCTCCTGAGGATGGAGGATAGCGAATGGTGTTGGAGCCTTTTCCTTTGCCTTTGGACTTGCCCTTTCCTTTTGCACGGCCTTTGTCAAGACCTTTTCCTCGGCCTGTGGGTGTCGTTGAGGAAGATGAGGCAGCTGTTTGGCCATCAGTGAGGGCGACCACGGGCAGGTAGCCACGAGCAAGCTTCAATTGCTGGAAGCGTTGCCGAGCATCCATGTAGGTGGCATATGCTGAGTCGTAGGCCTCAGCCATGGTTGCAGCATCTTCTTCATAGCCATCATAGTCTTCATTGAACTCATCTTCACCTCCACAGTAGATGGCTTCGTCGTCGAAGGCTGTGTCCTCATAGTCGGGAACATAGGGCTCCTCAGCCTCATACCATTCATCTTCATAGTATAGGCCTCGTCCCATGTAGGATCCAAGGGCTCTTCGTCGAAGGCAGCATAGCCTCGGCCTTTCCATCGAGCTTGAGGTCGACGATCAGGGGACCATCCGCCAGCCTTGTAGTCTTGGCCATAAAGGAGGAAGAGAGCTTCAATCACATTGGCCTTCTCGAGGGTTGGAGCCTTCAGAGTCACCATTTGGCGTTACTCTCTTGTCAGGCCGGCTCGTTTGAGCAAATGTCAACCCTGGACTTGGCTGGGCAAGGTGATCTTGTGGCCGGTGATCTTACGGTAGGCCTCATCGTGGTCGGTCACGAAGGACAACAAGCTCTGCTGACCCTTCCGCTGGAGGTTGGTGAAGTAGTTCTCGAAGAGGACGCGATCGTCATACTCAAAGTTGCGGTCCAAGCGAGCCAGGACCTTGCTGAAGGCATCTTCCTTCTCGCAATCCTCAACCGGGAAGTCCTCGAAGTGGCGCCAGACAACTCCGGTGAATGACCCGATGATGTTCAGCACGGCCTCCCCTCCTCTTTTGCTCAAAAGCATCTTGTTATGGTAGAGACTGAGCCTTTTGCGTTACTCTTTGTACTCTGCAGGCTGGCCATTGAAGAGGGGGACATAGGAGCCGCGCAGATTCTGGAATTCCGCAGCTTGTGATTCTGCAGCCTGCGTCGGTGGTGGCATGGAAGTAGCACCCAACCAATGAGCAACAAAGCGAGGTCAATCTCGTGCTCGGCTAAGTGTGGGTGACGTAGGGCTTAGGCAGGACCTCTAGCAAGTGAAAGCGTAGGTCGCTGGAGCCGTAGCTCCGCTACCAATGCGAAGATGTAGTTGCACACGAAGTCAACCAAAGACGAACGAACCGCAACGCTCGAAGGCGCCGCGCCGCGTAGCCCTTTTCAGGGCAGTGCCCACCCGCCTTGAGGTGGTTATGTCACAGTCAAGTGAGCTGTGAAACCTAAGTCTCCTGAGGTGAACAGCGTTCAACTTACACATATTATATAATGATATGTAATGTGGACTGGGACAAAGCATCACTATAATAAAAATCTATAAAATAGCTTAGATACGGCATGCATGATACGGCTTCTTCAGACACGATTGGTGGTCCAAAGCTGGGTCGAAGAAGCTTCATGTTGAAAAGATAAGCATAGGTGCTTTGTGGTGACTCTATATTCAACTTTGATCATCCAAGCTACATGGCTCCTGTTCCCTGAAGATCGAGAAGAGCTTGACATCTGAAGCGCAGATCTGAGCTGCTGCTTGCCCATTTTCATTTAGCTGACTGAATTCATCCACAAGAGGTGCGCAACCATGGAAATTTATGGCAGCGCATGAATAGGGTTTGGACCTATGCCACATAGAGAAAAGTTCTTGCTCAAAGTTCAGTGCAGCATTAGTCAACGCTTGGTTTCTGTTGATACAAGAGGCACTAGGACATGTTGATTCTTGACTGAAGGTTTTGCGAGACCCGCAACTGGCAGTTTACAGGTTCAGGGCCCAGGAGGTATGCTCGAGATCATACTGTCATACTGCTGAAAGTATGAGGGTATGGTATTGCTGAAAGCCCTTCGACACAGCCTGTAGTTTACATTGATTTATTCTGGCGGTAGTCTTGGTGGGCTGAGCTCCGAGTTGCAGGTAACGACTTGGCAGTTGCACAAGGGGGGTCCACAACTGAGATTCAGAGACTTCTGCTAGTGCAGAGATCAAGTTGACTTTGTGGTGCTCACCAATTAAAACCCAGAGTGTTCGTTGTCGACTGCCAATTTAGGCCGGACCTTTTGGTGAGCGCAGAAGCTGCCAGCAAAGACCCTAGAACCGCGTGAAAAAAAAGGCTGCAGCAGACCTGTGAGCAATATGCCACCGCAAGGCAATGGCATCATTCGCTGGTTACTGAAGATTGAGGAGGCAGCTTAATTGCTTATGCATCGCTTGATTGCTGTTTCATATCCACTGTTTCAATTGATTCCATAGTTCACCCCAAGAGTTCACTGGTGATTCTACGAGATTCTATTTGGGTCTCATTTTTCAGGGCAACGATGCTGTTGAAGTGGGGGTTGTCCCAGTCAGCGAAGTTGAGGACGTCGAGATGATGCAGAAAACGCAGAGTGGCTGAAATTAAATTAGTAAAGAAGGACAAGGTTTTGGAATGATATGACGTTGCCAACACGCAGGAGCCTGGCTACCTCTTCAATACAGGACAGTACAACGCCTATCATGTTTTACACCTGACTCAAGTTTGCGCTGATGCAATATATGCAGCTTCGGGGTGTGACTGTCACAGACTGCCAGACAGAAGAGAGGGTGAAGAGACGAGAAGAATATGAGTAAACAAAGAGACGAAAAGGGATGATAAGGCATCCTTCAGACTTCCAGGGCCTTACATACAGTTTTCTCTTCCAAAGAACGGTTTAGCCACTCTTAGGTGTGGTCTCAAGTCTGAGAGCGTTAGCGGTGGAGACGGTGGAGGGGAGCAAAAGTGGAGCCTTCAGTCTGACATGAGCACTCCTAGTTTGAGATGCTATTTCATTCCGAATTTAGGACGCTACTAGGAACAAAGGGCATCGCTACTAGGAGCAAGGATGCTACCAGGGGCTCCTGGTTTGCATTTTCAGAATGGGAGCGGTTGAGGCCAACCTGGCCTATGTACCTGAAGTTTGTAGAGATCATTTGTGATGTGGATCGGAAGAAGGTGTCACTTCTGAGCTTAGTTTTTTTTGCTGAGCCAGGTACTGTGTTTGAGAAAGTACTGAGTCACACAATGTTGAAGCCACTGTAGTTTTGCAATTCTGTGAAGGCATCCTTCCACGTTGGCAGCAAGAAAGACAGCTTGCAGGAGGTTAGGACTTTTGTGCAGAAAGAATCCATCACCATTACTTGGTGATCATGCTGAGACATACTGCTTCACCATGCCTGAGAGGTGAAGACGTTGGAGCTGCCCTACGATGAAGAAGTTCGTTTGGCTGTGACAGGCTGGAGTGGAACACGCCAGTGGCTTAGTTTGGCCCAGAACCCAGAAGCAAGGGGCCACTTTTGCTTCAAGCCGTCAAGCCCTGCTTTGGACAATTCACTTTTTGATTACTCTTCCCATGCAGGAGTACGTCTTGAGCCCCCACAAAAATGGATGGGAGGCTGGTTCTTTCATTTTCTATTGGGTAGGTGTTGCCCATCAGTGGTTGTAGGCTTATATATAGGTTTGGTTAATGATGGTTAATGTATGAATTACAGTCCAGTAGATTGTCAATGTTTGTTGAGTCGATGATTCGATAATGATATTTGATATCGGTGTGTAAATAAATTCGCAGGTGAGGAGTCAGACTCTGACTCTGACTCCAATGCAGAGGAGGCGAGAGAAAGAGAGAGAGAGAGATAGACAGAGCGGGGGGGATGGCATTCTCATGAAGCAGGGAGCAACTTACAGCTCGAGCTGCCAGGACGATCGATTCTCCAACACCTGTGGCAATGTGGCAACTTTCCCAGAGACGCAGAATTGGAGACGAGAGCTTGCCGCTAGTGCTTGCTACACCCAAAACGAAAGTTGCAACTGCTTGCTCCCGTTTGTTGCATTATCACATTTGCATACATTTGCCAGGTTTGTGATTGCTACGTTTCTCATTTGTTAGGTCCAACCATCCACTTGGCACGTGGCAACCATTTGTGTTGATCTGGAGAAGCGGCAGGTGCGCCCCCATGGGCACCCTTGACATGAGTTTGGTCAGAACTCGCATGTCAGCCTTTGGAAGCAACTATTAGGCTATGTGACTATGTGTATTACATTGTTCTGTAATACTCATCAAGGAAATGCAGATCATTTTGGATGGTGAGCAACATTTGGTGGCTCCGGGCTTGGAATGGCTTTAAAACCTTTCAGTCCTTTCTGCTTCCGAAAGTGTTTGTATGATACTGTGCAACCATGACCATAGCTAGTAGGTTGGAGGCCATCGCTTTTAGGTTGGAGGCCATTGCTGTAGGTTAGAGGCCATCTGTCAAATTTCGCAAGTCAAGGCGGTTCAGTTCAAAAAAGAATCATAACTTTCAAGATGGTTGAACTTAAAACAACAACCATAATCAATCCCAATTCCTGCTTCAGTGCAATCCTCGTGTCTTGGTTTTATGTCGCAGGGTGCATGGTGCTTCCAGAGATTCCATATGGCTCCACTTTATTAACGGCCAATCTCAGTTTGACAAGTAGGCCAAAATTAAGAATGTATGCGACGGGTTTAAGTTTTAAGAAAACCACAAAGACACACAAACAAACACACACACACACACATGTTTCAACATAAAAAGTGATGCCAACCGCGCCGAGCCAACCACTATCCAAACATCAAGTGTGTGAATCTGACGAACATCCAGAGTTTATGTCTAGTCAAGATTCTGTCAATCGCCCTTGCTTTCCACACAAAGGAATCATAACTGCGCACAGTGCCCACCCAAAAGTTATGATTCTTAAACTGTTATAGTTTCCCCAAAAAAGAATCATAGCTGGTGACACAGCCCACCTAAAAGTTTTGATTCCAAAACAGTGTTATAGTTAAAAAGAACCATAACTGGCAGCACTGGCTACCAAAAAGTTATGATTCCCAACAAAGTTATAGTTCCAAAAAAATAACTATAACTGGCTGCACTGGCTACCAAAAAGTCATGATTCAAACATATTCCAAACAAAAACGTTATGATTCCAAAAAGAGTTGTAGTTCCAAAAAAAGAACCAAAACTTATGTTTTTTTTTTCAAAAAGATGCATAGCCTAAATGTAACAAAAAGGCTACAAAATCAATTGTTTTTGCTAGTTTTGATCTATGTGTTTTTGTGAAACACCTAGATTTACAGAGCCCCAAACTAGCAAACACCTTTGATTTTGAAAGGTTTTTGATAGTTTTTGGCTATGCATTTGTTTGAAAAACATATCATACGTTATGGTTCCTTTTTTTGGCGCCTTTTCAACAAACTTATAACTAGTTTTCAAACATAACTTTTGACTATAAACCCTGACCTGTGAAATTCTACAAGGCCATGACTAGTTGGGTAAACCAGTGCATTTGACGTCGCATGTGCAGAGAAGCCCAGTTGAGGCTCGAGATCCAAACCTCTTCGCGCCGGAAGGGCTTTTCAGCACCTCTTCTGAAGAATGCGTCGAACGGCCAAAAGGAAAAAGGAATTTGAGCTGAAGAGTTGTTCAGTGAACACATATATATTATTTGTATAAATTCATGTGAGATCATGTGATCCTCTTCAACAGCAAAGCTATTTGCGGGCTGTGGCTTAGGCATTGATGCTGTCGAGGGCCTTGTTCTTTTTGGACGCCGCAGGGTGCGATGCTGAGTCTGGCAGGGTCATCAGCCACGTCGGTACTTTGTAGCATCGATGATTTTTGGTCCACATGTTTAACGTTGATCAGACGAGCAAGTGATCATGTCAACATCCAAGCTTTAACTTTCATTCATGTTCCTGCGTTTCCTGACAGTTGAGATCGGTGTTGTATTCTATGTGCTGCATGTGTGTTGCTAATGTGACTTGGAGTCGATAGAACAGCATTGGGGGGAATGATATTTTGTTGATCGTGTAGTGATAGATTGCCATTGTTGGATTTGGCTTATGTTTTGAATGGTTGTGTTTGAGGCTGGAAAGATTGCGGAAAGGGAGTGGAGGCTTGGCGGCCATTTGAGACAAATGCGAATGGAGTCGCTGGAACCTCAGTAACCTCAGAAGATGTTTGAAGGCTTTTGCACAAGCCCAGCCCGAATGGCACCGCCACTTAGGAAGTTCTTGAACATAGCAGAGGCATTTTTATTTTGGCATGGCAATGCATGACATGCATGGCCCAATCTGAGAACTTGGTTTCATTTTGGTACAGGCCTGGGGCCAGCAGCTTCCCAAAGGTGTACTGTCCTCAACTTTGCTCAGAGTGACTATGCTTTAAAGCAAAAAGAAGACACTACAGACCAGTTTAATTACAAAAATAGGGGACTGTGAGAGGGCAGTATTTCTTGGTGTCTGCATTAAGGAAATCTGCCTGAATCTTCTTTGTTTATGTGCAATATAAGCTTTCCACTGTTGTTTGCCTTCGTGCTATGTGCATCTGAAAGCTGCCTCAATGTCATTTGCAACGAGAAAACCAAAAAACAGCCAAGACCTTGAGACAACAAAACAGCCAAAACCTTGAGAAAACAAACACAATCAACAGCAAAAAAAAGCAACAAAATCATCTCAGGAGGTCTTTGCCATGCCTCACCTTCTCTGCAAAAGAGTCCCGGAGAATGTGTGTTTTTTTTTGTCGAGGTTTTTATTCATAGCATTCTACTTGATGACTCCGGCAATCGGTTCCAGCCTTCTTGTCCCCAAATTGAGAGGCTTGGGCATGGTTCCATTCTAATTCATTTTTAGAATGGAGTTCTAATTAAATTCTAGAATTAATTCAACTTTAGCTTAAATCTACTTTAATATTGAATTAGTTCTAATCTATATAATTCTATGTCAATTAGCATTTAATTCCAATGTGTTTCATATCTCATACTCAATTATTTCTAATTAATTCAAGTTCAGATCATTCAATTCTAATTTATGTAAAAATTGTTTACAAACCTTTTTAAGTTAAACCAAAATTAACTATAATTTCATAAAATAAATAGATTCTAACTACTTACTGTAATCCCTAGTTTAATTCTAAATTGAATTCTAAGTTAGGTTATAAAGTCCAACTTGAATCTAATTATATTCGAATGTAATTTTAATTTGAGTCTATTTGAATTCTAATTTTTGTTTTTCTCCATTGAAGTATAACTTAATCTGAATTAAATGTCAATTTTAATTCAACTCTGAAATATGTTAGCTTGAATTCAATTTTAGTATGTATAACTCTATTTGATTAAACTATGCATGTTCTAATTTAATTCTAATTCACATTGAATTTCATTCTCGACTGATGCCTGTACAATTGACATTTAATTCTTATTTAATTCAATGTTAATGCTACGTTTGTTTCAATGCATTTGTAATGTGTTTTTAGATTAATTCCAATCTAATCCTTAGACAATTCAGACTTGCTTGTTTTTTCAATTGATATTTAATTCTGCTTTGTGTCTAGTTCAATTCACATTGAATTCACATTCAATTCCTGTTTTTATTGAAACTCAAGGCAAATTTAAGTATAAAACTGATTTAGTTCTAAGTTAGTCCTTAGAAAATGCAACTTTAATTCTAGAAAGGATGTGATAGCTTCAATATGAGGCTTTTTGATCATAAATAGAATTGAATTGTAATAAGGGTAGAATTCACTTACAAGCAAATTAGAATTACATCAGGAATAGATCAACACTATATACATTGAATTAGAATAGAACTAAATTAGAATTGTCTAGCAGTTAATTATGAACTGTATGAGAATTAAATTGACACTACATTAAGCATTGGTTACAATTAAATTGGAGACACATAAAACCAAATTCGCAATAAGGTTTCATTACATTGGAATAACAATAGAATCTTCCATGAGCTGTCCTTGAGTCAAAACAAAAGCATTTTTACAGTCCAGTCAGTGAAGAGTTGAGCAACAAATGAAGTCAAAAAAAGTGCACTCTCACAGTCCCCCGCCCTCTTCAATTACCGGTGGTACGAATGTGTTGTATCACTTTAACATATACATACTCTAACCTGTAACCGTTTCTTTCTTTTTTTTCGGTCCATTTGGTCTGTCAAGGTCTGGGGTTGCCGGACCTGTGGCTCCAGAAGTGCCGCGGATGTTCGAATCTGCTGGAGTTGCGCCTGGCCAAGAGACTCACAAAACACATGGACATTGCATTGAAAGGTACCAGGTTGCCACATAGTGTTGGCAGAAGTAGTTGAAGAAGCCGTGCTTCGCTTTTTTTTCCATCATTTGCGTGTTGGAGAACATACCAAACTCTGCACAGATCCTTCAAGGAGACAGACGTGTGAATGACTTGCTCAGGTCATACAGCCAGGCAAAAAAGTGCATCTAGGCGAAGTGAACACTCTTTGTGGCAAGCTGTCAGACCATTTTGATGTTAAACGATGTTAAACGCAAAACGGCTGTGAGGCCTCCGAATGACGCGGATCCGCGACATGATGGACTCACAGCTTGCCACCTAGTGGGATTTATGAATATGTGTGCTGGGTCTATGAATTACAGTAAGTCCAGTGAAGTGAATGCTTTGCTTTGATCATTTTGATACGTGGAGATTCTTTATTGCTTTCAGGGAAAAAGTAGGAGAAACAGAGTAGCAAGAGTTCCTGCTTGCACAGTTGCTGCGAGGTGCTGGTTGCTGATTCCTTCAAAGACTTGGTCCTGGAATCAAAAGAGTCGCTTGCTCAACTTCGCAGTGCCGGCTCCACTATAGTATATATACAACTATAGCAATATCCAGAACCTAGTTGACATGTCAGCAAGTTGTGTCAGATCCATGCTGGCACACAACCAACACGTGAACTCCGAACTCGACTAGCTCACGCAAGCAAATTTTCAGAAAGCCGCGTGTGTAACTGGCGTAGCCAAGCACTTCGCGTGAGCTGCAACATGCAAGTGGATGCAGATCAAGGCACGTCTTTGTGCTCTTATATGCGCCTTGGTGCGAGGCATGCCAGGCACATAGCAAGCTCCGAGATCAGTGCTTTGTTTGGCGAAGCAGCTTGAAAGCAACCTTTCTCCGAGGTCAAGAAGTTAAACCACACTGGAGAAAGCTTGCCAAGATGCTGAAGGAGAAACTTGAGTAGAACGCTGATTGTTGTTCAGAGACAGAGAGACTGTCTCCAGACTGAGTCTCCTCCGTATCCCACGCTTGGTGCTGGTAGGGATCAAGCAAAATCCGAATTGCGATGATGGACTCGGACGAGAATGATGCGTGATGGCCCTTCCGTATGCCGCAGTTGCTCTCGTGCTCCCGGTCTATGTAGTGATGACACTCAGGCCCAGTCGCTTTTTCCCAGAGTCCTTCATCCCAAATGTCAAGTTCTGGGCTTGGCTTCCAACCGCAGCCTTGAATCACCTGTTCCATGCCAGTTTCGGACTGTGCAGCTGTTGCTGTCCATGGTCTGCTTGATGGCTCAAAACCTGCATGGCCGGATAGTTCACACCAGTTTGCCCCTCCTGTCAGCCTCCATCGGTCCATAGTGCCAGCCCACTTGCTTTCAGTGCCACATGCAAAATCATTCTACTAACACATCATGCTCACTCAAGATTGAATGTACATGGAATAGGCCCAATAGGCCTGACTGAACAAATTGCCTGAGTAAATTCTGATAGTTTCAAAATGACCTATGATTCCAAAGATGTGCACACACACAGGAACACACGCACAGTCTCACAACAATACTCAATCACCGCAATCCACGCTCACCACACACTCATCACCACATCGTTTGAGTTGGTCGGAGGTTTGCGTAGAGGGTATTCCTAATGGGGCGACGTCGATATGCATCCTTGCTCGTGATCACCTGGGCGGCTTACATCACAGTGCCCTGGCATACAAAGACACACGACATCTTCGTTTCTTGCGCCAGTGACCTGATTGTTCTGGCGCATGCCTGAGGACAGCTGCTCATTCTTTACACGAATCACCGCACTTCGCCGCGGCCGAGAACATTCAACGGAGGGATACCAGGCAGAATATGCTAAGGCTGCCAAGTCCAATCGACTTTGGCCAGTTTTAGGGATTTTTGAGTTCCTCCAACCGAATGAAGCAAGTCAGTCTTTCCATGAGAGCAATGCAACTTCTATCAACATTATCAACTTCTCTTTGCAGCACCAAGCTTTGCCAAGTAATTAAGGCCTCTTCTGAACGGACTCCTGACGAATCATTTGGCTGAGCTGGTGATTGGTTGGACTTGGTTCAGAAATCAGTTCATTGGGTTGCTTGAAAGGGTGAGTGAACAATAAAGGGCGGCAATTGCAGTTCTTCCATGTTCCTAAAGCAGGAGATGCATTGAACATCATTGAACATTAATTGACATTATATAGCATTATGCAACGATATATAACATAAGATAGCAATACTTCAAAGTATGACGGAATACCATGATGAACCCTCGGCATAAATGAATCGTTTATATACAGGTCTCATGAGCATTGAATCAGAACAATTTCCCTCCCTCGACATCCCTCGACTACATCGAAATCAAGCTCTTGTATGCATGGCTAAATCGTATTCCACGGCGGAGTCTATCAGCCTGGAGGACAAACAAAGGCTTTGGACTGGACGTTTGGGTGGAACGATTGTCAAAGGGATGTAACTGGCGCTCATGCACTGTCATGACATGTCATCAAGGTGTGATCAGGGATTGCGTCAAGTTTTAACATGAAGCCCGCATGCTCCGTCGCCCGCGGAGCGAGCCCATTAACTGTTAAGTCAGTGACTCAAAAGTTACCATGCAATGTAGGACACTGATGTTGCAGGCATATCTCTTGAAATGAGGGTTCTCGTTTTAGGAAAAACGGCTCAAACAGCTGCAACTTCTTGACTTGTTTTAGTGCCTAACAGAATCAAACCTTATTGTGGTGAGTGCCACAGCTCCAGTCAAAGATGCCTCTCTCGGGAAGCAGATGCAAGCTGTGATGTTTTGCCTCGACAAAATTTAAGGATTGCTGAGTGGAGTTCCACCTGAGGAAGCACAAGCCATTGAAGCTTTGCGCAGTGCAGTAGGCACAAGTGGCATGGAGCCACTTGCAGATCCGCTGACACTCCTCAGATTCTACAGGATGGGTGGGTGAAACTTGAATGGCCCAGGATATGCTATGTCCTCATAATGGCTCACTTATGCTCAGATATAACCTCAGATCATGGTTTGCTTCTTTCACCCACATCCTCCCATCGAAATTGTTTCACTAACTAGAGGTTTGCTCTTTGTCATGATCCTCAGCTGTGGTACCTGTTTGCAGCAAATATCATGGAATTGTATGGAATTATGTGACATGGAAAATCATTGAAATAGGTTTAGAAAAGTTCGGAATTCTTGCCCAACCACACACCACGTTGAGACCCTGCAGGGCCCGCAACCGAAATGTCGATGCCGCCGCAGAGATGTACCGCACCACTCTGGCTTGGCGATCAGAACCATTCGATCAAGCATCGATTGGTGATCTGATGGATGCCTTTGGAACCCCTGGGCAATATCACGAGGATGGTTCCCGCTCAACCAGTGATTGGACATGGAGTCCACATCCAAACACTCTTGAAGCAGAGCTGGCCTATCGACATGCGTTTTTCACTCGCCTGCCCAACCAGCATGTGCCTGAACCCATCTTGGTTTGGCGAGCTGGTCACGCTGATTATCAAGGAATTGTGCGTGAAGATTTGGTGGAGATCATGATCAAGGCCTTTGTGGTGCATCTCGAAGCCTCCAGGCCGCATAGTATCTCGAACATTCACATCATGATACATCATGTCAATTTACTTAATATATACTGCATCATATTAGTTTTAATACGTAGTATGAATCTAAATGCACATGTTAGAATAGTCTTAAACTGGTTTCCTGCTGTGATACGTTTCATTTCTTGAAGCTAAGGATGCCTTGCAAGCGTCGCGGACAGCATCTTTGAAGAGTGGCAAGCTGGTCCGAGCTCGTCTCATCATAGATTGCGATGGCTTTGGTTTTGAAAACGTTCGCTACATTCCTATATTGAAGAGGATCATTGCTCTAGGAAAGTCCTACTACCCTGAAGTTGCGGCTACAGTGACAGTGATTCGTGCACCGGCTTTTCTTGCAACCTTTTACAAGTTGGTGAAACCTTTTTTGCCAAATATGCTGCAGCAGAAGATTTGCATCCTGAACGGAAACTTCCATGATGGCTTGAAAAAGCACACCGGTTTGGATGTAGCTTCACTACCGGACTTTCTCGGAGGAAACCTGAGAGGAATCAAATTTGGTGAAGTGCTTCCAGTTCCGAGCAATGCTTTAAATTTCCTTTGTCAATCATAGCTTTGCCGTTGGACATTTGGTTGAACGTTTGCAGCAATGAATGTCAGTGGGATGTGTGCAGCTGAATTTGTGGCCAAGCCACTTGAGGGTAGTCTTGACAAAGAGTAGGCATGACGCAAGGGCAGAGAAGCCAGACAGCTGTACCAAAGGTACAGACTTCTAGCTCACCTTGTGCCTCAGACAATCGTAGACACATGCCATTCCGCACAAGTCAGACGACTTCACAATTTTTGAGCTATGCAAGACCTGTTGGCCAATAACCTTCTCGTGGCCAAGCCACTGGATATATATTTCCAGAAGGTATGTGGCACTGCGAGGCATGAGCAGGGAAGCGCCTTGTGCCAAAGGCACAAGTTTCAGGCCTTGATGCTGACCTCGACAAGCGTAAACGCTTGTGGTGCCCCACGACACGTAGATGATGTCTTGGCGAACCAAGTTCTTTGTAGCCATTGTTAGCAATTCTGGGCAGTGCGGTAGATTGCAAATCGAGTAGATGCACATTGAACCTCCGCATCGAGATTTAAAGGAGGAAAAAGACTGCTGTGACCTCTGAAGCTCTACTCCCATACATGCCCATACTAATGACATGCGATATGACATGATTTGACATGTGAAGTATGCGTTTTGCAACTTGCGCCGTGGTCCTGGCCAAGGCTGTTCCTTGCAGGGAAAAAGGGCAAACCACTTGCATGCAACTCTCGCGAGAGAACCTTTGAGTTGCAGTCTGAGAATTGCTGAAAGTATCATATCCACTGGCAAAGCAAAGTAATGCAGAAAGCCAAGGTCCTATGTGAAGTTCTTGGAAGAGCACACCAGTGTAAGTCTTGAGTCGGCTGCAGAGGCAGCTGATCAGAGCTGCATCAAGGTATACGGTATACGTTTTACATCGATAAGGTCATCACTTCATGATTGGTGATGGTAAGTCTTTGACGAGCACAAAGCATGATCGGAAGCTCCCATGCAGCCAGATGAACTCAAGAGAATCTATGTTTCAGTTTTGAACGAAGTAAAAGGGTATTTCTAGAGGTTCAATTCGGAAGGTGTTCTTCCATGTTCTTTCTGATTTTCAGTACCGGGCAAAGTCCAAGAGCCATGGCTTTCGAATAGTTCTGTAGCAGTTTCCTGCAAGTGTCAGTAGTGGCGGTGACTCTGTTCTTTTTCAGTGTGGAACAAACGTGAGCAAAACGCCCTGTATGTCAACCCTGCTGTGCTCAAAGACGTCAGGAATTCTACCCACAATATTGTGAAGTCAATGGGGCCTGGCCGCTCAGATTCGTTGCAGAATTGCTGTGCCAGGAGCCCCTAGTAGCGTCCTTGCTCCTAGTAGCGATGCCAGGAGCCCCTAGTAGCGTCCTTGCTGCATACCAAAGCGGAGCCCCAGGAAGTTGCGAATTTATGCATGCTGCATGTGCGATCAGGTTCCAGCCCTCGTGGAAGAATTGCGACAAGCTGCGATGATACAGGACAAACAGCGACAATACAAATTTTAAATTCTTTGGGCAAGTGTCTCATTGCATTGGTTTGGTGCAGGAATTGAAGTTGATGCAGCCCTTTCCTTACAAACTTGCCTTGCGTGCATGCTCTTCACTTGCCTCTTTTGGGACATGCTTTTACAACAAGGTGGAGACGGCCACCCTTGCAGACTTTGGCGTCATTCCTTTACTCATACTTGCTGGACAGTGAACTCATTATTCCGACAAACTAAGTCTTAACTAAGTCTTTTGTGAACTCCGAAAAGAAGCTTAGCTTGCTTCACTTGCTTACTGTGTGGCCCATTGGAGGATCCAAACGTGCATTCCTCCGTTCCAATCACTCCCATATCCGATGTGCCAAGCTCATCACCTTGATTTCATTGCGAATCAACCTTTCATTTCAATTCAGTTCACACATGTTCGTCGCATAAGGCGATCCCAGAAGATGAGTCACACTTGGTGATTCTCTCAGCATTTTGGGATTGCAAGGTTGGTGTTGGCTAACACTCTCTCTTTAGGTAGCAGCCCCGGAACCTTCACCACAGCTCCAAAGGCTTGACATATGCCACCTTGAGAGTGGAGGGATAGAGCCGGCTTTGAAAAGCAGCACCTTTTGGGTGTTTTTCCAATCGCAGGGGACCGACTGCACCAGAAGCAGCACGCCGGCTCTTGGTGACTTGTCATGCACATCATTATCAGTGCATCTCTTTGATTTTTTGTGCGCGTCTGTTATGGAGTGCGGACAAGACCACTGCTTCGCTGGACAGCAAGTTTGGCTTGAGCGATTGAGAGTAGGGCATGGTTCTTGAACAGACAGGTCAGGCCACATGTTTGGCTGAACAACAGGTACAGTAATTAAGGTGTAGCACTGTGTCATAGATGGGTTTTGAATAGACCAGCTTATTAATTGTCTACAGTTTATTTTCAGGCTCAGGAATATCTTGACGCAATGAGCCAAATGGAAGAAGTTATGCAGCAGCTGGCAGCATCTGTTCAAGAGGAGCTACGGCTGCAGTTGCAGCCACTTGTGGAGCAGATGGTAAGGCAGTCAGCAGAAATCTGCGTAAATCTTTGTAAAGGGAAGCTATCAGAACTCATCGAGTCAAATTCTGATCCAGTCTTCACTGCAGTAACGAAGGGCATTGGGCCAACTCCAGAGGAAGCAGCCAAGGCTTCTGCCAGATTGCTGGTCTCTGCTGCTCTCCTTTCTTCAGGTAGTGGAGGACCAAAGCATACCCAAGTTACACAAGAAAGTGCTGAGCCTTGCAGAGCTGTCCCAACGACTGCCAGGGCTGCCGGGGCAGCAAAAACAGTAGCAGTCAAAGCACCATTGAGACCAGAAACAGCAGCCTTGCCTCCCAAGGCTTCGAAGGCCAAAGTGCCACCGAAACCCAAAGCTGAGGCGAAACCTGCACTCGCAATATCTAAACCAAAAGCCAAGGCCAAAGAGGTAGATCCGGAGGTCGCACAAAGCGGACCACCAAGTGTCATGAGTATGATCCGCAAAAGTCTGGCCGCTCCGCTCCAGAGAAGCGAGCCCAAGAAGGCGCCAGTGGCGCCAATAGCTCCGGTGCCAGTGCCAAAGCCAAAAGCTCCACGATCAAGCGTTGCAAAATCGCCCTCACCTGAGAGCAGCCAAAGCAGCTCTTGAGACTTCAACTTGAAGCCGCGAGCTTGATAGTCAGAGTGGAGTTTGTCCAGATGGTCGCCTTGAAATGACAGGCACCGTATCAGATTCATTTGGCCCACTTGATTCATTTCCGCAATGTCAGCATTTGCTTTGACAAACGTGGATAAGCATGTCTTGCCTTTGCAGGATGCTTGTTTTGTATCCAAGGCAACACCACAATCCGCAGAGCCACCCAGGCTGTAGTTGCAACCTTTAGGTTCTTGGACAATTGCAAGAAATTCATGTTGAAACATGGGAAGTGACTTTTTGATGCCGGAGGCTTGTGAGACATGTCTCGCAACCATCTGCTCCAGCATTGTCGAGGGGGGCCGGCCTTCCAAGTATTGGTTTGTTGGATATCCTATGAGCAGCTTCCCAACAGGGCTTCTTGCAGGAAGCTCTCCTCCGCCCTCAGGCGGGAGGAGCTTCCTTGAAGAAGCCTGAGCCCTTCTGTGTCCAAGCCTAGTAACTAGATGTAACTAGTACATAGCTACATGTAGCTACTACTTACTATCATAATCATAAGCCATCATAAGCCTACTTGTTGGCTCTCCACTCAAGCCTACTAAGGGCTACCTTTAAGTGTGCTTGTTTTTTTTCTCCATTTTGGTTTCCTCAGGTCTCGGGCCAGAGATCACCTCCATTGCTGCTGCAGCTTTGATTGCACTTGTGGTAGATGGGCTTTGTGCTTGGATGATCTTCGATGTGCTTTTCGTCTCAAGGAGTCGGGTCATTTCAACACCGCTTGAGCAGGCACTCGCTCAGAGCTCCGTGAATAGAGCCCGTGCATCAGTGGAGACTTAAACGACATGAGCATTATGCAGGTAGCAGATCCACACAAGTTGGAAGAAGAGCTGAAGCTTTGCACTTAGCTTGACAACAGCTGACACATCGTGGCCAAAGAGTCAAAGAGCTACCTGCACCAAAAGAACTCCAAACAATCTACTATCTACACAGTTTTTTGGGGTTCAAGGCGTGCGCACTTGTCTGAATTGCTGGACAAAGAGTTGCAGACCGAGTTGAAGAAGGCAAAGAATCTGTTTTGTCAAGGGGGCCCTGCCATTCTCAGTGTAAACAGCATGAAACCACCCAATGACCATTGGTTTCTACATTACATATAGTTATATACAGTCCACAGCATGCCTTTTGTTTGGGGTTTGCTTTCGGTTCTCAGGCTTTTGACCGTAGCCTTGCTTCAGCTCGCTTCAACAATCTGTTAGTTTGACAGTACTTCGCCCATTGAGCAGGCACAGCCCGACAATGTTCGGGACTTTGTGCGCAACTTCTGTTTGCGCATGGCAGTGGCGACCCTAGGAATGATAGCTGCTAGCTCAAAAGGTCAATCACAGACTTCTTGACTACGCAGATCTTTGGTTTTCTCAAAATGCTGGCATGCCGAGACCCCAAAATTCCAGCACCGCTTGTTCTTTAACGCACGTCTGGGGGTGTTGGGCGCCAAGCTTGTATGTTTGTTAGTGGCACTTTGATGCGCTTTTGCTTCAAAACAAAGTCAAAAGAGTCTTTTGTGTGGGAGGTCATGGAGAATGGCTCCGCCGGCAACGTTGATCACGAGCGCCACTCGCATTTTTCGGTGCTTGAGGCAGGCTTGGTACATAGACCTCTAGCAGGAATGGCATTAATTTGGAAACAGGTACTACTTGCTGGCTCCAGTCTCTTTTTCCTGCCGTGTTTTGCCACGGTTTGTCCTTAGTTTCGTAGATCGAGAACAGACAATATCCATCCTTGCTGCTCAGCAATCATTTGTGTTGATCTAGTCAATATCAACCTGTACAGGGACTTTGGTTTCTTGAACAGAGTTGGCACTCCAAAAACATTACAATTTTGTGCCAGCCTTTTTTACTCAAAGATGTTCCTGAGCCACTGCAAGCGCACAGTTTTGTCACAACAGGACAAGCCACGCATGTTGCCAAACATGACCCTAAGAAGTTCAGCTCTTTTCTTTTCTTCTTCGAGGCGTAATGTGGTTTGTTGTCCTCAATGCTGATTCCAACAAGCTATCGACATTGATTTAAGCTGCTTTGGTATTGTTGAAATTCGGACAGTCCCCAAGCTCCAAGTGCCAGAACACCGAAGAACTTGTTTCTGTTGATTATTCTTTGGCTTGAACATGGCAATGGCATTTGTTTGGTGTATGTTTGATGTTTCATGCAGAAAACCAACAGAAACTACAGCAGAACTGTTGTATTTTCAACATTGATCCCCAAAGTCCAGCTTCATGCACTTTGATCCACTTTCACTTCAAGGACAGTAGATTCTTGGCATCACCAAGCCAAGAAGCAGATAAGAACAACACCAAGAAAACTCAACACAAGAACTCAGACTGCAACTACAAGAAGGAGATTCACCACTGCGCTAAATCCCAGTTTAACTGGAGCTTGCTTGTATGGTCAAGTGAGAGGAGGTCTTTGGATTGAAACTGGCAGCCAGTTGATGTAGCGGCGAAGCCTGAAGGCAATTGCACAATGACCGCAGAAACCTCCTCTTTCAATTCAGAACTCATCAGGTGTAGGTTCGTGCAAAATGAATAGACACTAATAATTGAGAGTCTAACTTTAGCTTTGTATGGACCCAATCTATGTCGTGGACCCGGAAGCCATAGCCTAGCCCCAGAAAACACCTTCAAGAGCCATCTCACACAGCCATTTTCTAAAAGCACTTTTCCACTCCAAGTCATCAATTTATGGCTTGTCGATGTGTCTTTGCGACCAGAACCGCCTGCACCGTTTGCTTTGAGAGAGATCATGCATATTGTATCGTATTGTATAGTTGTTGCAACTCTATTTTTTGACCCCCTTGAAATGATGCATTTTTCAGGGGGTCCGGGTATCCAACAATGCCTGCGCATTGTTGTTTTTTTTTAGATAGATATGTTTTTATCTACTCAATGGTACCGTTCATGTTTAAGTCTTTTGTCGATCATGTTTTTTTTTGTATGTTTTAATGCATCAAATATGTCAATCACTATTGCATCATTTGCATTACCAGATCCATGAAAGGCAAACAAACGACTCGTTTCAGCAGTTATCAACAGCTTGGATCATTTCTCACCGAAAGCCTACCATTTCATGTTCTATACCCTACACTCCACGACATATGGCACACCACTTCCAAGTCAAATTTGCAACACCTTTTTTTTCAATGTTTTCTTCCGTCGCTACTTTCCTACAGACACACCTCACGATGCAGAATATGCTATTCTGTTCCCAAACAGACGCGGCGCCCTACACAATAACTCAGCACCTTCAGTGTGGGTGGATTTATATCCTTTAAAGACACAGCAGCAGGCTCCATCATTCCGAGTTAGAGTCAAAGGGCCCAAACTAAATAGAAACTATTTCAAAACAATGTAGAGTCTCAGATTCAGGAATGTGGAGTTCTCAGATGTGTGAAAGCGTGCATTTTCGCTTCTGCCTAACGTGCCAGATTGTCTCTTTTGGGTGAACCAAGCAGCCAACCACCTAGGAATAATTCAAACGGAAATTATGTGGATTTCCATTCCCGCAGTTCAGGCCCTCTAATGACAAACCAACCAAGCACGAAGACGCAAGAAAAGAACGCGGCAAATTATTCTACTAGTTAATAGTGATTTACTGCGGAAAGACTTGTGCGCGACTCTTGCTATGAATCACCCAGTCAATCCCCAGGGGGAGGGGGACCGGGACCCACCTCAGCTTTTCTTAGTTTGAAGATGTTGGAAGATTCTTCACAATCGAGTAGTAACAAGAAGCTACTAGGGTGGAGGCATGTGGAGGCCATCGCTAATAAAAGCAAGAAGCTACTAGTAGCTCCTTGCAACTAGTTCTCTTGTTTGCCTTCAGACAGTCCAGACTCTCAAGAATAATTCGAACCTGATGGGTGTACCCACGTGGACGGTACCACCCAACTATGGTAAGGTATAATTCCAAGGTATGTCCAGGATGGACCACCAAAGCACTTTGTTTGCTTGTGAGCACATTTTGTTAGTGAGATCCTTTCTTTGCATTGCTTTGCCTAGCATGGCCAGAGCACTGTGCATCACTGTGCACATTCTTTGTCTACCACCAGGCGCTGGGTGAGACGGGAGCTAGCTCGCATTGGGCGGAAGCCACGGGAGATGGACCTTGCTTGGGCAGAGGTGGGAAGACAATGCAATAGTCTTGGTAGTTTGGAGCGTTTGGAAAATCGGACAGTGAGTAAGAGCTCAAGTGTGGCACTCATTGCTAAAGCAGGCACGCATTGCACCCATGACTGCTGCAGCCCTGCGCAGCAACTGGCGAAGAGCCAGACTCTTTGCAGAGTTGAACTGTTTCTCACTGGCCAACTGCCTTGATCTGAACGGATTTGCGTCGAGTTCCGCCGTTGTTCACGCCTCAGGTCGAAGATGCCATTTGCAAAGAGACCAGCCGTGAGGCATGCGAGAAGCATTGCTCAACCGACGGCCGTCATTGCTTGCCTGGTGTATGACCCAAACGCCAATTTGCCTACGTTTCAGGGTCGATTGGGGTGTCTGATTGGGGGCTGGATAAATGTGTACGTCGTACGTCCATACATATATATATATGTATATATCATATATATATATAGTATATACAGTACAGTATACACACACACGTGCATCTACTATAATCATAGAGAACATAGAGATTGGGGAACTGTGAATGTTGATCATTTCGCATTCCATTGATGTTTTGGGTATGCAGATGTTTCGGTCTTGGCGAGGCTGGAGTTTCAGCGTTGCAAATTCTGCTTGAACGTGGCTTTGATCCTAACGCGGCCCCATTCAGACATATATCATATATCATATATATATATATCATATATATAGTTGCAGACATATACTTAGAACATAAAAAAGTTTCCAAAATGGAAAAACCAATACTTAGAAAGGAACAAATACCACATACTTAGAACATGTGACATACCAAGAATGCATCTAAAAACGCCTTACTTAGAACATTGGGGAAAGTGATACTTAGAACATGTCAGGATTATCCTTCTTTAAGAAACGCTGTAAGATCATTTGACATACATACCAACGCATACCCATGGCAAGCACTTCACTTAGAACATTCACCTACCAAACAAACTCCTTCCATCAAGCTATCTTTCTTTCTCTCGCGCTCACTGTTCGAGCAGTCTTTGGAGCTTTTGAGTATAGCTCCCCCCAACCCCGCAGATTCAGCATCTGACCCAATGATCCGATGCCCTGTACACAGCAGACATTGCATGTTGCACACAACCATCCTGCCATGTACAATGCAACCCCAAAGCTGAACCACTTGGAAGGATCAACACTTAGAACATCTTGGAACAATCCACCTGGAACAAATCTGTCAACAGCATGGCAGAATGGATGAGTTAGAGGGTCGCCTCCGTTGTTTTGATTTTGTGCAGTTGCACCCGCCACATCGCATCTTTTGGATTGGCGGCAATATGGGCTTCTAGTATTGCACGAATTGTCCGCAAGATTGCTTCCTTCTCGGTCCGGTTTGTCCGGCCACCAAAGCTCCAGCACAGCCCACTGTGGACATGTGGGTAAAAGCCGTGCCACTGTCGGCTGCTCACGTGGAAGCCAATTGAACAGCCTGTGATGTGCCGGGGCAAACTTGTAAGCTCCAGGCGCTCCAGTTCAACCCAAGCTGGTCTGGAGTTGAAGCTCTTCACTTTGCAAGTGCGCTGGGGCTTCAGGCCAAAATCTTCCAACTCCTCATCTGAATCTCCAATGATTTCATCCACTTCATCAGAATGTTCTAAGCCATCACACTCACCAGCATCCATTTGGGCTTTCTCAAAATCGAGAATAGCATTTTCAGCTTCTGCTGGCCTGTCCGGTTCTGGCTCTGAATCCTCTCCAGATTGGAGCTCATCGATTGCATCCTGGGGAATTGGCCCCTCAAAGTCCATAGCCACCTTCTCATCCACTTCAACCTTGGGCCCGCGAAGAAGGAGAAGGCGAAAGCGACTTCCTGTGCAGGCTGAGAGCTCCAACTGAGCAGCCTCTTCACTGAGATGCAGCTGAACGGCAAAGCAGTCCTTGTTCACCTGTTTGGCATCAGTGATGCACCTGCGTTTGGTTCTGTCAAAGATGATCTTGGGATTGTGGCCCAGCTTCCACTGATTGTATTTCTCTAACTGGGCTCGGGTGAGGGACTTTCCAGCGGAATCCCGTTTCATGATCTTCTCCTGCCACCTTTGGGAGTCATCCACAAACTGAGCCACTCTGATCTCCAGCACAGAAGCCATCCAGCCCGGCAGGGGGCGACGGGTCTGGGCATCATCCCCATTTTGCACAGCCCACTGACATGGTTGCTCATCTGCCTTGGAAGGCCCGGCCGGAGTCGGGAAGACATAATACATAGTGTAATGTGATATATATATATATATATATTATATAAGAAAAAAAGTATATATTTAGCTATTTTATCTTCTGTCGGGTCAAACTGTTAGCTGCTGTGGAAGCATACACTTAGAACTGGGCCAAAAATGTTGGAATCTATTAGACCCATGCATACTTTGTGGGCACAACTCTGCTAGTGGACAATACTCCTGCGGTATCCTATAATACAAACAAATGAACGCTGCTAATGTTTATGCATACATGTCTTGGTTGAACTGTGATATGACATGTGAGGAGTGTAGAAAAGGCTTCTGTTGCAAATCAGCTTGGCAAACATACACTTAGAACAAGTCGTAACAACACAGCTTGGTTGGGGGAACCTGTGTAAATATATATAGTTCCGAGAGCCACAAAGTACTTTGCACAACTCCTGGCTTCCCCACCCACGTCTCTTGGTCGAGCTGTCCACATGTCACACTCAGAAATACATCCCTCTTGAACTGCTTCCCGCAAAGCACATGGTGGCAAATCAGCTTGGGAATCATACACTTAGAACAATTACCACACTAGGCTCCTGGAAAACCTGGAGCCTTGTGCCTTACAGTATGTTGGTGTAGCTTTGAAGACTTCACTCAATATCAGACCGGCCACTAGCTCAACCACACGCATGTGATGCTGACCCACATCTTCCTCTTCAATGTCAGGAATCTCCGTCAGCTGCAAAACATCCTGCATGCTGCTGCGGTAGGACCTCATCTGGGCCTCCAAGTTCTCCAGATTACCTGCCAACACCAAGTCAAGTACGACCAATTGTTCCCCACATGAAATGCGTGAACCATACACTTTGCAGAAATCACCAAATAACAGCTGAAGCATAAACAGCAAAAATCCGGAAGAATCATCCCACAATTCTTCAACTTATATAGAAGGTGATTCTAACACTTAGAACATTCGGAGATGAACACTGGAAAAGGCCTGAAACGGAAACCCAAGTGTCCGCCAAACAGCCATGAAGCAAGCTGCTCCTTCTGCACATAGCCACGGTTGAGCCAGGCCATCCATATGAAACGGTTGTGCCTGCAGACTGTGAGTGGCAGGCAATCTGAAAGCATTGGCTGCCCTATGCCAACACTTAGAACATACCATTTTGCCTACCCCGTGAACAATTGCATCTCAGGGACTCTGAACTGCCAAGTTGTTTGTGCGCAAAAGCGTCTGCCCGCAGCGATGCCTCCATAGGGCACCTGGGATGTGCGCAAAATTATCCAACTAAGCGCCCTGTATAATATATATATACATAAACATTATGGCTTCTCGATATGTCTCAGTTTGACTGGAGCTTGATATATTGTTATTTGGAGCTCATCTATATAACATCCTGAATATTTCTGAATTGTTCATTTGTTGCCCTGCAGCCACGGGACTTTGTAGCAGGATTTGACTGGAGCGACATTTGAAGTTCATCCATCCGTCGACGCAATTGAGGAGCACAACTCCATTGCACTGCTGCTCGTAGGTATCCCTTGGATACTGCATGGTGGACCTGGTGCCAACCATCGTTAGGGGCCCCGGCGGCTCCAAAGCCGCCCGGGATCGGCACTTCTGAATGGCCAGTCATCAGCTCCTTATATCACAAGTGGGAAGTGAAAGTTGCTCTGCAATATGAAATGGTGAACTAGCTTGGGAAACAATACACTTAGAACATTGCACCTAAGTCTTGTACATCCTGAACATTCCAGAACTCTTGAAACAATATTTTTTTGACATACATACTCATTACATATTACATATGTGTAAAGAGCACAAAATGTGTGTATTTATAATTGAAAAAAGGTTCAATGTTGTGCTCATTGGACCACTTCTCGTGGATGCGCCTGAACCGTTGTGACATATGAGCAGCAGCTTGATCGCAGAATATGAGAGCTCTGGCTGATGCGCTGACTTTCAACTGCTTCCTCCTCCATCTCACTTCCTGCCACGAGAGAAAGGACACGCCCATTGTAGAAGAACATACTTAGAACATATATATATAATATATATATATGTTTAGAACTTCCTGGCATCGACCTTTGGCATTCCATTGTAGAAGAACATACTTAGAACATCTTAGAACATACCAACACATGAGGTGCTGTGTTTGGCTCTTCTCAAAACATCTCAAAACATATCTCCTCCGCTAGGAAGTTCAGGTAACGCAGAAAGGTCTCCTGATTCCACACATGTGACTTGGGTTGAAACTCGTCAATCACCAGGTGCTTGCTGAGCTCACGGTTCAGCTTGGTGCGCACTTCCTCACTCATGGTTCCGGAACGCATGCTGATGAACGATCTGCCCAAGTAGCCGTCACAGAAGCTCAATGTGCAAACCGTCCGCGGTAAGCGCCACTCGTCAACCAAAGCCGAGGCGGCATGGCCGCCTGTTACCTGAGGTGGCTTTGGCTCAGGCGGAGATGGATCTGAAGGATCTCGCTCTGTAAGGGGCAAGTCCAAACTCCTTTCCAAGCAATGCCGTATCTTCCGCATCATGGTTGAACGGGAGTGTGGGTCTTTGGTGCATCCCCGCAGCGTGGAATCCTTCATGTATGTTGTCCTCGCCGGCCTGAATCTCAAAGACCAGACTTGGTCGAAGTTCCCAACCAGCCTCTCATGGACTTTCTTTTGAACCACCAGGGACTTGATATAGGTCCTGACAGCCTCAAGGCTAGCATGTTCATATGCCAGATGGGCACCAGGCTTCTCATTGGACCGCGCAACCAATCCAAAGGTGTTGCAAAGGCGCTGAGCCTGCTTCCTAAAGTGACTTGTTGAGCCAGTCCACAAATCACACAAATGAGCAATCGCAAAAACAGACAGGCAAACCCTTGGAGTGTGTCATACTTAGAACATACATTGAAACTTGGAAGAACACATTGCAACTTTGGAACATGTCTTTCTCAACATGTTCTGACCATGCTTAATGCTCAGCCCAGTGTCAAAAGCGCACCATCAGTCTCGGTCAAGTTGACTGGCTGCAATATCTCTGCAGCCCGCTCTGTCAGATCATCAAACAGCTTGTCAATCTCCTCCGGTGACAT